AAAAAAGTTGTGAAGCTGAAATGGCCATCAAGATGAAAATTAAGAAGTCGAATGACATTTTGTTGATTTTTAAATGTACTTTCTCTGTACTTCTCTCTCCTGTCTATATCTATTCGCCCTGTTTCAATCTCCTTCCCATTTCATTTCATTTCATTTCTTCCATCCATTCCACAAAATGATGATGATAACAGAAAGTTGATGTTGTGTATCTTTCTCTCTCAATGTGTAGATTATACAGCACATAGAGGTAGGAAAAGAAAAAAAAAAAGGAAACTTCTTGACATTTCTGACTCACAGTGAACGCAATAATCTCGCAATTCAATTAAACCTTGAGCTCCGACAGTCATATTGTCAAGGCAAGAAGAATTTTTTTTTTCTTCCTTTTCACTTCCATCGTATCCGTTTCACTCAACATTTATATATCTGGATGATATGGCACAGCAATTTTCTTTTTTCACTTCTATTTCCCATACTCTCGAGCTTTTTACTTGCTTACACTTAACGTTTTGTTATCGCTTTTGATAGAAAATAAGAAAATTAAAGTCCGAGGAGTTGATGAAAACTAGGATCTTGATTAAACTTGAGAATTCTTGAAGAGATTCAAATGAAAATTAAATGTTTATTAATTTAGGACATTTTAGGCTAAGATGATCAACATTGGGTTAAGTTCTTAGTGAAATTCTCAATTCAAACTTAGATGTTAATGCACAATTTCAACCCAAGATCTTATTGATATATTTATCATTCTAAACTACAAATGGACTTGCCTATTGTCCATTTGCCACTCGGGACAAAGAACCTTAAGTAAAGTTTGGCGTAAAAAGACTTCAAATTGAATATGCCAAGATATGATCAAAAATAAGAAGAAGAAGATGGAATAAAAGAGGTAAAAAGTTTTCCTATGGATTAAACTATTTTACTGAAAAACAAGTGCTTCTGTTTTCTAAAGAATAAATAGCTTGTACATGAAAGCAAAAAGAAGATAGAAAACGAAGAAAAATTCTTTCTAATAATTCCATTAATTATTCATGAAAATTCAGAAAAAAATTGCTGAAAATTTTTAAGAGTGGAGATGAGAGTAAATGGAATGAAATAAAAGGTGAAAGTGAGGTATGATTATTAAATGAATGAAAGTTGATGGAAATGTTGAAAATTGAAGATTTTTAATGATTAAAATGGGAGATTAGAAATGACGACTACAAATGTTTTTCAATAGCTTGATTCTAGAAAATCTATAAATAGAACAATATGTCAATTGTTCCATTATTATGGTTCATTGGTGGTACGGAGGATAAGCTATTGCCAGTTAAGAATTTTTCATCTGAAATGAACTATGAAAAAGGGAGATAAATGATAGTTGAAACTGACAGCATCTGTTTTGATCAGATTTCTAAGTAAAGCCATGTACCTGAAAGCTTTTTTATTAATTTATGTTGCTTTTGTTGCTAGTACAACAAGTTTCTAAGAATTTGACGGAATTTCTGTCTGGAATTTTGTTGTTTGATTTTTTGCATACTTCAATGAATCGCTGGATCGGATCTCATCTTGTCGTTTATACGGAAGAGTTGAGTCGGTTTTACTTTTCAGCATGCAAATTTAGGTAAGGTTGACTAAATTCGATTTTTTGCAGCCATATTTTCAAGAATAATGTTCACATAATTTTCAACGAACAAAAGTCAATCTTATGACATCTGCATGTCCTCTATCTTCATGTTTAACTTTACCTTAAAACATCCATTAAGCCTGTAATTAGTTTAAAATTAAAAGACACAGAAATAATTTCTTTTTCGTAATTAAAATTTATTTTTCATCATTTCTCTTTAATATTTTCTTTCAATTTTTTGTTTGTTCCTTTTTTGTTTGAAATCTACATGACTAGAATGTCTCGAAATGCTTCTTTCCATATCATACTATTTTAAAACTAGCTATTTAAAGTTACAATTTCAAAAGTAAATGCAAATTATAGTGTTTCAATTTTTTTTTATCAAATCTACAGTCTAATGGCATTTTTTATACACTTTTATTTCTCTTTTTTTATTCTTATCATTATACAATTGAGTTTCATGTAGGGAAATCATGCAATTTTCATTCGGAAAATTTTTAACTACAAATCACATTTCCACGCCTGTTCGATTCTCTTTGAAACAGATATTAAATTATTTACATTTTTTTTCTTGGTTATAAGTTTTGTTTCTTCTTTCTTTTTGGTTTCTTATTATTAAAATCGTGGGTGTGTGTGAGAAAAATTTTATATTCAGCATTCTTCTTCCTTATAGCTTTACTTCTTATTTTCTTTTGATTTTTTTTTTTTGGGAGTGAATCCAAGTTTTTCCTTCTCATTTTCATTCTTGAATTAAATAAAATGAATTGCAAGTTTGGGGATTTTTTGAATGGATGGATGTGGCGCAAAGCTTTTGAAAAATCTAGGTTAAGTTAAATGAAGATATTGAGAAATAGATTTTTATAAATAGATTAAAATCTAACATTTCTTTTTAGAATTCCTTCACCAAGACATAAAAAGCAAGATCTAGGTTTTTGTAGATAAGGGCCTGTTCCAGGTTACTAGATTTTTAATTTAAAAATATAGCTTTTAAATCAGTGATTCTAGCTTGGATATAGCCAATATTAGACAGAGCGAGTCCTAACATTATAAATGCAAGTTTAAGGTATAATTCAAAATTAAATGCATTTCCAAAAATTCGCAATTATTAAAATTTAAAAATAGGTAGGTCGACATAATAATTTTTATTTAAATGAAAAAAAAACCTAGTAACAAGACAGAAAAGTCAGGCAAAGAGCGGAATGAATCGAAAAAAAAGGAGGAAAAGGCTGATGTGAATTATTTATGAATTTCTAATGGAATAAAGGGGACGTTAATAAATTACGTGATAATATTTATCCTTCTTTCGTAATCATTCATACGTTCGAGACAGACAATGAGAGAAGATGATGACGATAATCACTTGACATTAGCTTTATATCAGCCTGCGTCGTGAATACTGAAAATGAGAAAAATCTGTTTCCGCAATTTTTTTTTTCTTCGGGAAATTTGTATCTTTTGATAGATGTAGAAGACAGGGGTGTATTTGAGGGTATGAGAGATAATATAGGGAAATAGACTTGCTTAAAAAATTGAAATTTACGATCATGTTCTCTCGAAAAATCCAATATAATTCCAAAAGTAATTTGAACAATTTCAAGTTATGGTTAATAGAGTAGAGTCAGTATCTAAGCACTAGTATCTCGACTAGTCCTATTAAGACAACTTAAATTTGGCGCGAAATTCTTGGTTTTGCATAAAATCTTTTTTAAAAAGGACGGTTATCAACTGAAACCATCCCTGAATACACCCCTGAATGAAAATGGAATAAAAATAAGAGATTTGAATGATTAAAGGAAGTAAATTGAAGAACTTTTTTACTGCTGTAATTAAATATTTTTCTATAGTAAGTTTCTCTTTTTTTATTTTTTTTTCATACACAATTTTATATTTTTTGGCCATTTTTTTTTTCTTTTGTAATTCTTTCATCTGTTTTATTGAGTTTAAAGTGATGTATTTTTCTTTTATCTGACGAAATAATTGATGAAGTAAATTCTCAAATTTACAATTATTGCTCATTTACACATTTCCTTTATATACACAAGAAATTATTGAATTGAAATAAGAAATTATAAATTATGAACAAATTTGATAAATGACTTTCTGTGCGGTGAGATAAAATGAAAAAAGTTTTGATCCAAATAATAATTTTGAGAATTCTTTTCGTGTACTTTGTTATGCTTTATGGGAAACATAATCAAATTTTTTCATGGAATTATGATTGATGATTTTATGTCATTTGATCACAAATGACAGCCGAGTTATTGTAAGAGACATTTGCTCGAACATTTACCAATCTTAATGGTGACATAAATTCAGTTCGGGGGTACCATAATGGACATTAAGTGGAATGACATATCTTGTTGCTGGAATTGAGTATGAATTGGGCAGTTGAGAGAGTTTTGATCAGTTTTGAGGCTTAATTTAAAAATTAGAAAATTTTTGCTAATTTCAGGAAAGTATGTCATTTTTTAGATGATGCCTTAATAGAGTAGCTTATTTCAGCAAGAAAGGATATTTGTCGGAAAAAAATCAATTTCCAAATTCACAAGATGAACCCCTTACAATACAATTCAAATCCCATTCCTCAATTCCACAACCAACAACCCAAGACAATTACATAAACCCATCAAAGTCAATGACATTATCTCCAACAGAAAATCATTTTTCTCTATTAATCGATAAATAAAATAATCATAAATCATTAATCGTGAAGTAAAACTCAATTTTTTAATGTTCATAATGTCAAATTTGAACTAAGCTGTTCTGTAACTTTTTGTCTATGATTTTTTTTTGTGTGTTAATTTTTCATCTATAAAATATTATTTTTCATTTATGTAAGTTTTCTTCTTGTTTTTAAACCCACAGCCACAATATTTTTTAATTCTTCATAATCATAAATTTTTATTGGTCTGAGGAGTTTTGGGACTTTTTAGTCATTTTACAGAAAATGGGAAAATAATTGATCTGTACTTTAACGATGACTGTGATTGAAAATGTAAATCGATAATAGTTTAATTGGAAATAACGTTTCGTAATGATAATAATTAAATTTTTGATTGAAAGAGTCATTAAGAACGGAAAATTGGGGCTTTAAAATCATGAATTTTTAATTTTGAGAGTTTTTTCTCGAATTTACAGGTTTTGCTTTAAATGATCTGTGGAAATTTGAAATTGCTTTAATATGAGACGAATTCGAAACTTTTTGAATATTGAATTTTGATAATTTTCAGGTTTTCATTGATCAATTCAGCTCTTGCCAGGTCTAGAATTATAGCTCTTAAAGCACAAAACTATCATATGAAGATTTCAACACGTTTGATAGCCATAAAAGTTTAAATATGAACACAAAAATCTGAATTCGCCTCAAAACAACATTTTTTAAATCCAAAAAATAAAAACCCATTTTTCCATTCAGAATGAAAACTTATAAAAGAAAGTAATTAAATTCTATACAAGATTGACTAGATTTGAAGTTACATAATTTGTAGTTTTTATTGCCGTATTGTGTTGTCAAGAGAATTTTCCTTTCGTTAAGCTTAACTTAGTTGTTTATTTATCCTTAAAATGTAATTAACAAATTGTCGATGATATTCATTCTATACACAGTTAAGTAAAAATTGTTCTTATTTGTTGTTATTCTGTTCAGTTTCTGTTTCTTTTTGGGCTTTTCATTACTAAACTTTTAAAATTAATTATTATAATTTTTTTTCTTCTTCTTATAATTGAATTTATTGCACTTAATTTAAAAACATAAAATCAAAGTTAAAATTAAAGATTTCTAATAACCAAAACCAAAGCCCATTTGTTGTTGTCAGTGTTGAGCTGCAAATTTCATTCGCTTTTGTTTCTGTAAAAAAATGAAAACTTTATTTGAAGCATTTATTAAGCCTTAGAGATCAAGTGATAATCTTACCTGACGTTGATTACAAAACCACACACGTACAACATTTTTCTTAAGATCCAATTTCTCAGCTATTGCTGCAATTTTCTCACCTGACGGACGTGGTTGGACGGCGAAATAGGCTTCGAGAGAACGCTTCTCTGGAGCCGCTATGGATGTCCTTTTTCTTGAAAAAAGACTCGATATAGATTACTTATTAACTTTGAGTTCAATTATGGAACCAAAGGAAACTCAAAACTAAAAGTAATGAACGAATTTTTTTAAACTCAAAGATCATATCCGGGCAGAACAAAAAGGCGTGTGGTAATTAGTGTTGTTATCTCAGATAGTCATCTAGATCCAGATTATGGATAGTAGACATCTATGAATATTATATACTACTTTAGAAATTGTCTGATGATCATACGGTAACCAACACTATTGCTAGACTTAACATATATATAGTTTGGTCTATGTAGGTCAGGAAACCAAGGACACAGGATCAAATCTCCATCCATTTAAAGTATTACTCTCTATGGATCTAGCAACTTTCTAGATAACAACACTGAAAGCAGCCATATAGAAGTTCTATAAAGCCTTTGTGCCACCCAAATATTCAAAATTCAAGGAAGGATGATGAAAAAAATTTAGAAAACCAAAAAAATAAAGTAAAACAGGTGAAAAAAATCATAAGATAATAGTGAAAAATTCTGTAAAAATACTCAAAACTTCTTCTACCTTTTCTTCTCGCCATGAGGCAAGACGCTGGGCGCATCTGGATCACGTCGTTTATTTTTTGCTTGCGCCTCAGCTTCCTCCAGCCATGCCTGAAGAATTGGCTTTAATGCTATCATATTGTTATGTGATAATGTCAGACTCTCAAATCTACATATTGTACTTTGCGATAAAGCACCAACTCCTGGCAATTTAAGATTGGCTAATGCTTTGCCCACATCGGCTTGTGTAACACCTTCATTTGTTTTGAAATTTTTATTTGAAGAATTGTTGGATGTATGTTTGTATGATGTTGCCATGGGGTAGTTACACGAGTAGATGATTGTTGGATGTTGTCAGGCAAGGAGTATAGAAAGAGAAGAAAAAAGTGGCGAAAAAAAATAAAAAAACAACAACAATTTTTTCGCAAATGGATATCATAAGTGGCAATTAAGCGAAAGAGTTCCTCCATCCTTTTGTAATTTATAGCACTAATTATTTCCTTCCTTGCGGGCGAAAATTCTCATTTTTTTGTGTGTGTTTTTGTTGCGCGCACAGAAGATAAATAAATCTCATTAAGAGGCAAATTTATCAAACTTAAACTTTCCTTCCTTCTCTTGTCTTAATTGAAACAGTTATGTTGGACTTACTTCTTCTTATTTAATGACTCAAATGATTATAATTAACCACCAATAATAATTTTTCATTTCTCTCCCTCAGCTTAATAGCTAGCTTGCTTGCTAAAACATTATGTGTACTTTTTTTTTTGGTCTTACGGATATAATTATAGTGTTCAATTGTTCAGAACTCTCTTTAACAACAAAAAAAAATACCGACGGTCAATAATATTTCCCATACACCTGCGTAATTCATGAATTTATTTCACTCATTTTTTTTTGAAAATTTCAAAAATACACAATTAATAGAGTTTACCATTTTTTGATAATAGTTATTTAATTAATTAATGGGTTTTGTTGAATTTCATTTATTGCCGTGCAACTGCTGCTTCTCTCTACTCTTTTTTTCCATACTCGAATAATGTGAAATATAAAAAAAATTATCCAACATGAGGAAAAAATGTTTCAATAAATTGAATTTTCATTCATTTTAATGTGAATTTTTATCAAGTGCATAAATTTTGCATAATAATGATTATATTTTTAACCTCATGATTGGGGATGGGCTGTTGTGGTATGCTGTGGAATCGGTGGTGGTTTCTTAACTTGATTTTGGAGATTTTTCAAGGTTTTTTGAATTAGTAGTTTTAAATTGAGGATTTTCAATTATTTTGCTATTTATCCCAATTTATCCTTAAAAGGTTGAGGAACTTATTATTGATGCTGTAACTGTGAAGAATTGTCTAGTTGACGAATTCTACTTAATTGCTATTTCTGAAACTCAATATTAACATTCATCGATTGAATCAACTTAAGAAGCTATCTGAAGGTACTAAAACTAATCTATGATGCTATAAAAGTAATTCATGTTCGTCTTCTTAACACCAAACTTTCCAGTCACATCCAATGCATACAATTAAATTCCTAATGTCATACAGCTCATCCTAATTCACCTATATAATCTTCAAAAATCAATTCAAAGCCTCTATCTTCAAAATTACCTGCAAAACCCACCAGCATGAATGCATAACTTTTAACCTCCCGAACTCTTCTCTACCTTACACGTTCTCCCAAGCCAAGCGACGCCAATGACAATAATAATAATAATTTATTGTATGGAAAATCTTTTAATTTTAAAAGCAATGCAGTCGGAGAACATTCATGGAAAATAATTTTGTGAATATAGACCTGAACTGACTATTGCACAAACGTGCAATCACTTGCTTGATTATTTATTGCGATTATTATGAATTTAAATAGAATTATTATTTAATTTATGATGTTCAATTTATATTAATATATCGATATTTATTAAAACATTGGGTAAAATTTTGCTGTATTTCACATTCGAGATTGTCGAATTGGATATAGAGTGGGGGGAAGCATAAAAATTACTAAAATTGACCACACACTATAAAGCTGATCTGCAAAAGTGCATTTCTCTCTATTATTTTGTTGTTATTTAATATTATAAATGTATGTATAAGTTATTTAGCAAATTTTGCGAAGCATCTACTAAGAATCTTAATTTCATTTCTCGAAGAAGTTCTGATTCTTGAGAAATCAATTTAAGACGAAAAAGCTCCAAGTTTATTCTTATTGAATTAAATCGAAATTGTCTGATTGCAATTTTCTTTACGATGTGCATGTCGCCTGTTTTCAAGTGCTTGTGCTTGTTTAGGATAAGAATTGCGAAAAACTTGATTGGGTTGATCAGAGATAAATTAGAGAATTTTCTAATGTAACTCTTGAGTCATTGAATTGTCCACAAGCTTGATTAAAAGCAATGAGTAAGATCCAGTCGCAAAAAATGAATTTTTCAGTACAGACCCTTATTAATACAATTTTAATGATTTAAATGCCGTTGAACTTTGCTACAAGATGGATAGAAGAAGCTACTTCCATCCTTTCATGATCAACCATCTTCGAATTCAGTGTAGAATTTCAACTTACAATTATATTTACCTAATTTTATCCTCCGTTGCTTAAACCTCTCAGCAAATGCTTCGAGTTCTCTTGGATCGGTATCTTGGTCGGGATGGAGACTTGCAGCGGCAACTGCTGCAGCCATGGCGGAATGATGTGAACCTTAACAGAATTAAAATTAAATAAAAGTTGTCATTAAACTTTCAAAATTAAATAAATCTTTTAGTCTACCAGGTGTATGTCCACTTAATGGTCCACCATGATGATGATGACTCATCATATGATTCATGCTGTGATAAGATCCATGAAGTTGATGATGTGATGATGATATTGGTGTCTCTGTCATTGGCGTTAATGTTGTCATTGAACCAGATGGATCTGACATAAGATCCAAATTATCCATTCCATGCATCTGAAACATATTTTTGGTCTAATAAAATTTGTATTAGAAAACAAATATCAAACATACGGTGCTGTGCTAGGGATGATAAAGAGAGATACAGGGAAAAAATGTTATAAAATTGGGGAAATAGGGAAGGGAGAAAAAAAATAATATTAAACATCCATTGAGTAGCAGTGGCGAAACCATCAATTATTCAATCATCATGTCCGAAACGATGGAGGTAGGAAAAAGGCGACAGAAAAGTTCTGCTGCTGCTGATGCTCATTCCATTTCTCTATACATGTGGTTAACTCTCCTTTTTTTTATATGAAAAATAATTCAAACTCATTCGCACGATGTACGATGTGCATCTCATGCTGCATTTTATTATATATTGCAATATATTTATTTTTTGGCATCAAATGCATTTCTGATCCCAATCAAATGTTTTTTTCATGCTTCCTACTCGCTCTCTCACTTGCTTTCCTGCCATCACAAGTATTTCTCTTATGACTACATGCATAACATTCATGTCCGTTTGGCTACTGCAACTAGCCTAGCCCGGACGACGATAAAAATGAATTCATTGAAATTTGAATTTTTTTTTGTAGAAAAAAAATTTCGTCACTAAAATTCTCAACCGGAAAAATATGAAAAAAAAAATTGTATATGAAGCTTGCACGAGCATAAAAAGGAATGGAATATAAATAGGGAAATTTATGTCATTGCGTCATAGAAAATTCAAATTTAATTTTAAGGTGGGGAGGATAGAGAAAAAAATGGGAGGAAAAATGAAATCATCGTTCATTGTATTAATCAAAATGGCGTAAAGGAGTAAATAAGAGCGATGGAACAAAAAATTAGTGGACGGGGAGTTGCGTAGGAGGAATATTTTATGATTGAATTATGGAGAGTTTTATTTCGTCTGGAAACGGTTCGTTTTTAAAGAATTATGAGATTCTAAGAATTTATATAGAAATTGTGTAATAATTGACGGATGAAAGCAGACTCGATAAAGAATTGCTGACGTTAAGTCATTACTGATTTAGCAAAGAGATTAGAAATCAAAACCCTATTTCAATTTAAAGAACAAGGGTTCGACTCCTATCAGTCGATCGCTCAATCATATGTATAATAAAGCTTGTTCGGCCTGTTTCACTAAAGTAGATTATCCTCGATTTCGGATTATCCACTTCAGTTTTTTGGAAATATCTCCAGACGCTTAAGGTTATTAAGAAATCTAATGTGTGATCTAGTTAGAGTATTTTGCTACTTAAATTAACATAAACTTAGAATTTTTATTTCTTCACTAGTTTGAGAATTATAGCAAAGATCGAAGATAATCTACTAGATTTGGCTAGAAAATTGAATAATTATTACTTCTTAACGAAAAGTAAAAGTTTAAAGTGTACAGAAATTTCAGGCATACTTCACTCTATTATAATCCAAAATTAGAAATACCACACCTCCCATAAAGTTTAAGATATTTCCAAAAAACTGAAGTGGATAATCCGAAATCGAGGATAATCCACTTTAGTGAAACAGGCCGATAATGATTTATAAGCTGGTGTTCCTTCAATTGCTTCCTTACTCTGACAAGATGATCACGACATGGAGTTTATCTCAATTCATTTACTCAAAAGAATCACAGACATTAAAACCAAATATTGTCAATATAAATTCACAAAAGGATTTTCTTCTCATTTCTACGATCAAATTATACATAAAGCAATATATACTCAGCATCATAACTTCCTTTGTACAGCACATCCATGAACAAGAGAAAATAATTTCATTAGCAGCAAATTAAAAGTAAATTTGGCCCCAACATTAATTTATAAAATAATTATTTGCATAGCAAAATGTTCAAATTTTATTTTACAACGAGCAGAAGCAGACTGCGTTCATCCAGTAAGACACAATTTCATTCTTTTCCATGCTGTTTGTACATTAAAATAGCCTCAAGTATTTAAATTATTTTCACATTAAAGAACTGCGTTTTTGGATTGTGTTTATTTTAAGGATATAAGCCGTGATTTTAATTTGAAATGTTCCCAATAACCAGCGCTGCTATATGACAAGTAAACAGAGATTAGTGCCTTGAGCGATTTACTGTACGAGAGGTTTAAATATTTACATAGAAAAACTAACAATTTTGGCTTTTTTTAACAGCACAATAATTTGATTAGATCCGCAAGGATGTCGAGGGGATGAATAACGTAATCAATCTTAAGCAAGCGCATAGGTTAACAAGTGTAATAAATTAAAACCTTATGTTGATAATTGATCTGTCACTTTTAATTAGTAGCATCTTCACCAACAACATCATCGCATTTTCACACTTTTATTCAGTGCTAATAATAAGAAGGGTAGTTGATTAATGTCGAGACATAAATTTTAGTACAAATAATCAGGCAATTAATCAACATTATTCTCTTTTTAAACAAAACAAAAAAAAATCAGCCAAGCAACAATTTTTAAAGAGCATCAAAAACCAACCATCGAGCATAATAAAGCATTCATGAGGTAATGATTTACAGTCTCAATTAATTTACAAAGAATCTCATTCTTCTATACTTGCTAAGTAAGTGTGTATATATTTACAGACGGTAGATGGAAAATTAATTACGTAATTTACGCCAAAAGTTTTTTCCCACTTTTTTTGGTTGGAACTGGATGTAAGAGAAATGAGTCTATTAATTCGTCCGTCAACTTTATATTTACAATTTGCAAACTAATTTTCTTGTGCTAATTTTTTTCGGATAGTTTGAAGGCTGATTGGAGTGAGAAGGAGGTGATTTAGTTCATTAAAGTTGAGACTTGAACTTATCTTTAAGTTAAGGTGATAAATATTGCATTAGATAATTAAAAATAAGCTGATGATAACACAATATCATGTTCAGATCTAGATTTTTTGTAGATTAGGAATAACGGTCCTGCAGACATTCAAGCACAAGGACTGAAGCATTTTATACATTTAAAGAATGTAACTTAAAGTCAAAAGATGTTAAAAGAGTCTAAAATAATCATTCTAGCTATCTTTAAAGTTTGGTGAGAATCAAACTTACGCTTCACCAAGAAAATGGATTACAAATGATCAGTTTCTTATCAAATCAATCAGCCAACGATGCCTAACACTCGGTTGAACAGTACCTCAGATTTCACTCCATGCTCATTGTTAAATCTCAACAACTTACAATCAAATCTTTCCAAAAACTAATCAGTACCAAAAAAAATTATAAAGTTTTCTTTTCTCTCACCAAAAAATGTATGCAAAAAAAATAAATAACCTGGGGAGAAAGTGGCTATAATTTATCCACAAATTGCAAATTTAGCAAAACATCTCATCCCTATTACATTCACGTGCTCCTCCAAGTATGTTGAACTTTATGTTAATTAAAGTAGAATAAATAAAAATAAATTGCAAATAAAGAAAAAGCAGCAGAAAAAGAAAACTTTTTATATTCATTCAATCCCAAAAGACTTCATAAACTCTTGCAAGTATTTTTGTATTTTTTTTCCCGCATAACACAACATTTACATTTGCCACATATGCTTCAGTCTCCTGCTCTCTTTCTGGTTTTGTATTTTCTTGTGTTTTTTATGTTTGGCAAAATAAATAGATTCATTGATCGCAATTCTTGGTATTTTGGAATGAACATTTTCATCCCAGTCGTTTACATTTTTTAACTGCAAATTTGATGTCGTAAAATGTAAAATTGTCTTTGGACTGAATGGAAATTGAGGAACTGATGTAATTTTATTGCAAATGATTTGGTTACAGCATCAATGGTTTTAAAATTGAGTTTTGTGTTGGCTTGAATGAAATTTTGAGTTTTTAACCTTAAAAAATCTAGAAAAAATTGAGCAGCATGCACAAAACCTATGCAATTTCCTAGATTTTATAGACACATTTCACAATAATCATAAAAACATCCCTTTTTGGTGTAAAAGAACCCATTTAGAAGCCCTGTTGAGAATAAAAATTTGTTCATGTAACAAGTTTGATTGCACCATACACAATATATCAAAATAATAAACTGATATGAACAATAAATCATAAGAGTTCACTGCAGTAGCAGCAACAAACTTAAACCCTCAATTGTAGCAAGAGGAAAAATAGAAAAATAAATTTTTATGATGTTTGTATACAATTATGTAAGCAACATCCCTACTCAATAAAAAGAAATACAGCAATGAATAGCAAATAAGATGGGAAAATAATGTGAATTTCTATACGCCCTTGAAATTACCATTTAATGCATCCCATAACAAACCCCTTTTTATTTCATTTTTTTCTTATTAACTTTCGACTTTTTATTTTGTTCTCTCCCTTTATCCGATTGAAAGATGTTTGATCTATGCTTTAGCTATCTAGTTTGGTTCCTTTAACAGTTAGATTTTCGGTAATATATGTAGTCGTTTGGTCATTTTGAGCATAGTGTGAAATTTGATTCAATTTACTAGTTTTATTGTGAACAACTAATTCTTTTGGTTTATGCCGCTTTTTTCTGTGCATAAATGCTAATAGAAAGTTGAAATTTGTTGAATCAGAGTAATAAACTGTGATTTTTTGCTAAATATGGAATACAAATCTACCATTTTTTTTTCACCTTAAATTCTTGAGAACCGTTAAAATCTTAAAATTATTTAAAAACATTTGAAGTCAAGTTCCTTATGTTCCTTTTGATCAAATAATAGTAAATATGCGCCTCATCATCCCAAAAAAGTAAACTTCCCCTTACCAATTTTTATCTCTGTTAAGAACAAATTTTCCTTGTTATCGCTTGTGTTGTTTTATTTGTATCATGTCATGGCACATCAACTACGGCTATTCTCAACATTATAATGCATTTAACTAACTGTATTTTTGTTGTTTGCTCTATTTAATGTTGAACAGATGGTGAAACTCTAATAGAATTTTTTTATTATTTTTTATAACCCATAGCGAATGAACCTGCTAACAACTTGAACGACATTAGATGTTAATTGAAGAAAGATGTTTTAAATTGCTACATTTTTTTTTCTTTTATATTCTTCTTTCTTGA